ACACCGTTTTATTTGAGAATTTATCATCTACATTCTCTCTATCTATCTATAATATAACTTCAAATACCGATGAATGTTCGCATTCCATTCTAGAAAATCTACACGACGAACGACCCCAAACATCTCCCTCAAAATATATCTTTTATTTTCGAGCGATTTCCATACTCCCCCAAATGACCACAATAGTCTTATCTACATATCTATATATTTTTATCATTGCCATAATTATGAATTATTGCAATCTATTATGTACACATTAACTATATTAAAATACCTATTATTAGACCAATACCAAACAATCATAAAACGATATGATTAACAAGCCGCGACCATCAAACTACTACAAATTAATCAGCAGAAAATAACCCAACCTCGGCCCCTACCCATTCCAACCTAAGTATTCTGAAAATTCCAACCATCGTTATGACCGCACTGTTGTCTAATCTTTCACACCGCTTTCAGCAACCTCCCAAAGGTTACCCTAACAGACAAATCGCACCAACATAAGAAACAAATCACTAATAAAAATTAAGAAGAATGACTTTCCAGATCGTAGGATGAATCTTTATTATCCTATGATACTTCAAGAAACATTGATCTAAAGCATATATTTTTCTTAGTCAAAATCGGTTGGAAGTTGAATGTCAAGAGATTTTCGAAGTTTACTCAATTAACATCATCAGGGTAATATTGTCTCTCAAGGCCAGGGCTCAGGATATGCATGCAAAACTATGGCAACCATGGTTTCTGTCGCAACATGTCGGCCACTCATTCGGTGTCCAAAATGCGCGACTGTCCCGGGCGTTGCGACCTGTGAAGACTAAGGGGGCTCTTGCTGCCGTGAAGAGAATCGGAATCCACAAGAAACGGGAGTTTCTGAAATAGGGGACCCTAATATAGTACCCGAAATATTAGGATCCTTCTTGTAAGTACCCCAGAATAAGGTACCCCTAAGGTTCAGAAACTCCCAGACCAGGAGCCGGCTGCCCTGAAGATAGCCCGCCTTCTCCCCGAGCTTGAGCCAGAAGAAGAGTCCTGACAGCCGAAACTAGTTCATGGTTGGGATAGGATTAAAGATTTACATCCTTATTGCTTACTGGGTTTAGGTACCCATTAAGATGCAAGATGTTACCCAACTACGACAAAGGAAAGATGCCGGCAAAGGCCAATGCGACAGCAGGAAGCGACCTTCATTCAACTATCCTGGGCGATCTCCTCTGCAAAGGCTGATGACTATGATGGTGCAGCGATGATGATGCTGGTGATGATAATCAGGCTGATAATTTGATGGTGTTGGAAACTGCCGTTGCCGAACGATCGCCGTGAAGTCAGTGGTCATTGCCAACTTCAAGCCCTGCAGGTGGAACTGAAGCTTCGTGATGCAAACATGTGGGGAACACCATGTGCTCCAGTGCGACAACGGCATCCGGTTCACCTCGTCTCAATGAGTGTCGCCACTGTCACAGGTAGTTGAGACATGTACAATACAAGACAATCAGAATCAAGTAAGATTGCATCACTGCATCGCAGGACAAGCCGGCAACTTCTTCGACCCTGAAGGGCGGAGGGGCCCTCCCAAAGACGATACTCCAACTGAGCTCTGAGCTGCTGTCATCCTGCAGCGAAGCTGTAAGCAAAACATCTGCCCCGACGCGGAAGCTCGTCTTGCAAGTTCCTACCAGCCTCAGCAAACACTTGCGCCCAACGCCCCGCAGAAAAAGACACTTCAGGCCTCATCTGGGCTTTCCTCCTCCTCGTCCTCCACAGGATGAGAACTTCGGCAAGGTGTCTTGAGGATGCTTTTGAACTTGTAAGCTGCCGAGGTAAAGGAACTCTGTTGCACACTATGGCACCACATACTGGTAGCGAAAGCTGCTATGCTGAGGTTACTGTCTGGCACTACGCCATGACCGCCGCAAATGAGGTTGTTGATGGCGGAGCAGCTCTTGCATTGTGTCGCTGTCCTCTTCGTATGTGTATGAGGAGTCCCCGTCGGACTTGGGTGCACCTGACAGTGAACGTGGGATACCTCACGAACTAGTAATCACCCTCGCTCGACAGTGATGATGATGATGCCTGTGCTGTTGGCTGAGGCTGGTGATGCTGGTGCTGGTACGGTGGTGCTGCAGGTGCTGGCGCTCGCGGCGCTGGTGGTGTCGGCGGGTGTGACAAAAAACCATCAGCAGTCATGACCGACATGACGAGGATAATAAAGAAGATGCGGGCGACGAGGATCAAGGTCATCAGAGCCGTTCTAATGACGATGACGATGCAGTGGCCTACAACAACCAAAGGAACTCTCATTACTAGTGTCTTCGAAAGTCAGGAGGATATCCGGATACAAGCAGCAAGAGAGGCGATGCTTGAGCCTGCTGAACCCTCTGCCTCTACATGCTAACACTGGGCGTTGTCCAAAGCCTGGTGCCATACCAAGTCTTGCCAGAGATCCGCCCCCGAGACGGGCCCGAGAGGGACGCTCTGGGGATCGGCATCGTTTACGGAAGGCTTTCCGAGGCTCGGGCAGCCGCCAGGAGCCGCCTGAGTCTCGCAATGTAGGGCTAGCGGCCTTGATAATTCGAATAGTAAGAAACCGAGGTCTGAAAAACGATCACATATTGCAGGCAAGCATCTTGCTTTTGTGGGGCAGGTTCAGGCTCTGGACATTTCATGTCTGTGCTGCTGGCCCCGCTGCTGCTGTGACTGCAGCTGCGGCCTGTGAGGGCTTCCTGTCTGCTTGAGGTACCGCCTCCGTCTGCGCGACCTTGCTGCGATCTGTTCAAGCCAGCATCGACACTTTCAAGCGTCGAAGCACCAGAAGCCTGCATTACGAAGAGTGGACCGTTGGTTTCAGCTTGCCGAGATTCCAGCAAGTCCGACGCCATGCGATTTGTCCTGGGTTCCGGTTCCATACTGATCTCTTCGGCTGCATCTGCTACAGAGCTCGATGCGCTGCTTCTCTGGCTGATCATCGCAGCTCCCTCCTTCTCGTCTTTCTTTCCCATTGTCGCTGGTGCCGCCCTTGCCAAGGAGCTAGCTCGTGCTTCCGCACTGCCTTGGATCGTTGCAGGACCGATTTCGGCACCGAGCGTCCTGTCGGAGAAAGAAGGATGATGCTGGGTCTGGGCAACCGTCTCCGTGGCGAACACCGGCTCCACGCTGATCTCCTCAAGGTCATCAGCAAATACTCCAGACAAAACACGCGGTTCCTGTGAACCACCGCAACGTGTTAAGTGCTCACGTGCCATCAGGCTCTGATATCCCTGGTGTGGTACGGATTCGAGGCCGATCTCTTCAATCGACTCTGCCACAGAGCTCGACACGCTGCTTCTCCGGCTAGATCTAGCGCTTTCTTCCCTCGCGTCTTTCTTCTCCCTGGTCACTGGCTCCGCTGCTTGACAGGAGCCAGCTTGTGCGGCTTCTGCACTGGTTTGCTTCACTGTTGGAGGAGCCATTCCGGTACTCAACGCTCTGCCGTAGGAAGTATCCCTTGCCACGGGTTCCATGCTGATCTCGTCAATCGATCCTGCCCCAAAGCTCGACGACACCGGCTCCGTCGCTGGCCAGGAGCCAACTTGTGCGGCTTCTGCACTGTTTTGGTTCGCTGTCGGAAGAGCCATTTCGGCACTCAAAACTCTGCCGCAGGAAGTATCCCTTGCCACGGGTTCCATGCTGATCTCCTCAATCGATCCTGCCTCAAAGCTCGACACGCTGCTTCTCCGGCTGGATCTAGCACTTTCTTCCCTCGTGTCCTTCTTCTCCCTGGTCACTGGCTCCGCCGCTGGCCAGGAGCCAGCTTGTGCGGCTTCTGCACTGGTTTGCTTCACTGTTGGAGGAGCCATTTCGGCACTCAAAACTCTGCCGTAGGAAATATCCCTTGCCACGGGTTCCATGCTGATCTCTTCAATCGATTCTGCCGCAAAGCTCGACACACTGCTTCTCAGGCTGGATCTAGCGCTTTCTTCCCTCGTGTCTTTCTCTCTGGTCACTGGCTCCGCCGCTGGACAGGAGCCAGCTTGTGCGGCTTCTGCACTGGATTGCTTCACTGTTGGAGGAGCCATTTCGGCACTCAAAACTCTGCCGTAGGAAGTATCCCTTGCCATGGGTTCCATGCCTATCTCTTCAATCGATTCTGCCACAAAGCTCGTCACGCTGCTTCTCCGGCTGGATCTAGCACTTTCTTCCCTCGTGTCCTTCTTCTCCCTGGTCACTGGCTCCGCCGCTGGCCAGGAGCCAGCTTGTGCGGCTTCTGCACTGGTTTGCTTCACTGTTGGAGGAGCCATTTCGGCACTCAACGCTCTGCCGTAGGAAGTATCCCTTGCCACGGGTTCCATGCTGATCTCCTCAATCGATCCTGCCTCAAAGCTCGACACGCTGCTTCTCCGGCTGGATCTAGCACTTCCTTCCCTCGTGTCCTTCTTCTCCCTGGTCACTGGCTCCGCCGCTGGCCAGGAGCCAGCTTGTGCGGCTTCTGCACTGGTTTGCTTCACTGTTGGAGGAACCATTTCGGCACTCAAAACTCTGCCGTAGGAAGTATCCCTTGCCACGGGTTCCATGCCGATCTCTCCAATCGATTCTGCCACAAAGCTCGACACGCTGCTTCTCAGGCTGGATCTAGCGCTTTCTTCCCTCGTGTCCTTCTTCTCCCTGGTCACTGGCTCCGCCGCTGGCCAGGAGCCAGCTTGTGCGGCTTCTGCACTGGTTTGCTTCACTGTCGGAGGAGCCATTTCGGCATTCAACGCCCTGCCGTAGGAAGTATCCCTTGCCACGGGTTCCATGCCGATCTCTCCAATCGATTCTGCCACAAAGCTCGACACGCTGCTTCTCAGGCTGGATCTAGCGCTTTCTTCCCTCGTGTCTTTCTTCTCCCTGGTCGCAGGAGCCGCCGGTGGTACATTGCTGCGCTTCAACGGCAAAGGAGGGATCCCTGCATAGACGCTCGCGCCGGAGCGAGAAGCATGGTCCTGGGCTCTTAGTTTCATTGAATCTCGCCGGCTGAGACTTGAGGTGGGGATCTTACACATCACCCTGCCGAACCGGTCATGCCAGTCCGCTTTGAAAAGGGGGGGGGTCGTGGAAAAGCCAAAAGAAAATCGTATTCATCTTCACAGGCCACGTCATTGACAGTGAATCCACTGCCCCGCTCCTGCTGAGAAGCCAGATCTTCAGATTGGAGACCGAGGTCCTGAATATGTTTTGAAGAAAAACTGCGTAGCATCCAGGACAAGAGCACGCACCTCGAGCGGTAGACTCATGATGCCTGGGCAAGCAGTATGGGCTCAGTAGGCCAACAGTTGAGGCTTCAAGGAAGCAAAAGTCCGGAATCATTCCGACAGGGCACCTTGAGATGAAGCCTCGCTGTCCTCTCTGAAGAGCCTTACGCTGCTCGGAATTGTTTCAAACGAAGGTTCAACACGACACTGTCGCGGAACTGTGCAGACTGAGTCAGCTGGCATGGAGCCCTCTGCTTCCACAGCAGGTGCGCCTGAGACAAGTTTCAGTTAGCTTGGGAGGCGTAGAGCCATCAGGGCAGCTACGCATGCCGTGACCGAGAAACTGGCCCGCAGGACATGTCGATGTGCTTGGGAAGTCCTCACCGGAGTTGCTGCCGCTGGATTGCTGGCATTGTCCCTCAAGATCTTCCGATCATTCCTGGTTTTCTCACTGTTTTGCTGCAGCTTCTAGCTCGCAGCTAGCTGGACATCACTACTGATAGCACTTATATACGTCTGTCAAAGCCATTAGGATTCGTTTCCCCTCTCTGTTCTGCGTCGTCTTGTGGCTCTGCGGCTCGCAAACTGCCCTCAAGAGCTCCTCCTGCACCTGCTGCGGTAGCTCCGGAAGCGCGGTCTGCGGCTCCGGCTCCGGCCTGTTCAGCACGGAACGCCACATGTACAACGGGAACAGGCAGAACTGCGCCGCCACAGAGGTCATGGATGAAGTGCAACAAATCGCAAATCGCAGAGTCTCTGTCGACGAATATGACATAATGTAAGTTGATCGCGACACGTGACCTCTGAGCTTAAGACTTCAAGAAGTAAACCGACAACATGATATCCGAACATCGCTGGCCTGGACTCAGGCGCAAAGAGCGGCTTCTGCCTGGAGAACTTGGGGAGCTGATTCGTTGAAACTGAGATGCCGCCACCATCACTTCAAAAGAGGGTATACTGCAAACTTTTTCTGGAAATCGGATGACAGTTGTGATGCCGGCACTGGGCAGGCACATGGCATAATGACAGTACGCATGCCGCATGACTTCATGGCTCTGCCGCTTCCAGTGAACACAGCTTTGCCGACCCGGGCTTACATGCAAGCACGGGCAAGCCTTAGACCACACAGATAATGACAAGCAGCAGAGGCCACAAACTCAAACTAGCCATCCAAGACTTGCTACAAAGAGGCAGGCGAAGGACAACATACAACGCGGACTTGAAATTTGGCTCTGTGCGGCTGCAAGGATATGCAAGCAGCACCTCACGGAAGGTGCCGCAGTGGCAGACGGAAACACCTGCAGACAAGACTCTTTGTTGCAACGAAACAAAGCGAAGAAGCCATCCAATCAAAGCGATTCGCTTTATTTGGGAGGGGGGATACATCGGAGTACAGTTATACAGGAAGCACACAAGACTACAAAGTTTATAAAGGTGATGCGACCACTCAGTATTCGGAACCCCACTGCCCCACAGTATCTCAGATCAAAACCTAAAACCCAATGAACCTGACGGATTCAAGTAGCACAAATTGGGCTCCAGCATCTTGGAAATCTCTTGCAGCCACCGCCGACATGTTGATGTGACCTTCGCGATGCATGTCTCTCCATGGTGCTCGCGCCCATCCGGCAGTAGTAAGACACTTGTCCTATTTGGATGGCTCCCGGTGCCCAGCTATTAGCGTCTCTTCGGCAGTGTAATTAGCACCTGCGCCCTGACAAGCAGTTTTAAGCACACTGTGCGATTTGCGGAAATGGGACGTCAAAGAAGAAGCATCCAGTCTGAGCTCCAAGCACGGACTTGGAAAGTGAAACGAACGTGGACTCCTGAGGGAAGTGCTGTGGTATTTGCTTTGGTGGTGGCTGAAGGTTTTTGGTGCATGTCTCGTTGCTCGAAAACAGCAACATATGACATGGCCGAGACTTGGAAGGGCTGTTAGATCGGGGAAATCCGCTGATAGCACCGGCATTAAGGCAAATCCGAGCTGCTACGGCTTTCCACTTCTGTCGCAGCTGCTACACGACTTTGGTACCAGCACTGGTCCTCCCGCTCCGCGGAGTAGTTGATCGCAGAGCGGCAGGGTCCTGCACACCTGCCGCTGACCGAGACCAAAGTGTCGCAAAGCAACGATCACCGACACGCCGCTGGACGACTGTGTGAAAATCTCACTGCAGTCTTGTCTTCAAGGCACTCTCATTATTGAAAAAACAAAGGCAGAAAGCATCAGAGTATGCCCACCCCCGGCTTGGAGAATCGCAAGCTCTAGGTGACCGGCCGATCGGTGTCCCAGGACTTCCACAAAATGCGGCCTGGCATGGCTAACCGGAATCTCCACCCTACAACCCAAGAAATTGATGCGAGGGAGTGCATGAGAGCTTGCTGAGCCTCCGCCGATTTGGCGGATGCCGGTAGCGCAGCCCTGCAACATGTATGTTTCTGAAAGCACTCAACACTTGTCAGTTCGCATACTGCAACATTCGCAGGCTTTGCCGGGTACTGGCTTACGGCGTATAAGATTACGTTGTCAGTGTAGTTTCTGGCTATATACCCACGCGAATGCACGTAAACATAACTCATGCCATGACATGCGACAACTGATGCAAAATGTCATCGTTTGGAGAGTATTACTATCTAAACCTTGTCTCCGAGTCGTAATTGGAAACATTGCCACTGTCTGTTGCTCCTTTATGAACCATCTCTGTCTCTGTCAGCGGTGTAAATAATTGCAGATGGGCTCCCGCTTCCAGGTACAAGTTTTACAAGCAACACTGCTCGGCGCGGACGAACAGCTTCGGAACAGCACACATGGGCGCTGGGATGCCTTCGGAGCGTACACACATCCAGCACATCTCTCCATCCATCCATCCATGTTTAGGCAGCTGCATTTCCATTTATCATGATTTATCGGTGTGCATATGTGTCTCTGCATACTCTGATTTTTTTCTGCTCTGGAGCATTGCACGATGGGCCACTCAAAAACCATAGTCCACATACGCGACAAGTACAGTCTCGAAGCTCTAGCTAATTAGTTTTCGAAACTGAAGCTCATGCCCTCGCCCATCTTTGGATTGGGCTGCTACTGGGTACGGGAGAACTGCTTGGATCTCGAGGCACTTTGCAGCTTGCCTTGCATCGCTCTCTGTCGGGCGTGGAGAGTGCCTGGCAGGTGAGGGTGCAAAGATGCAGACTGAGGCGGCACATGTCTTAGGTCTCCAGACTGCGACAGCTGAAGGGGCGAAAGAAAAACACGATTGGGCCCCGAACGTCCTGTTTCAAGACTTCCATACATACATACATACATACGCACCTAATTATGCAGTTACCATACTGCCTGTTGTGTAACTACATTGGTCTTTGTGTACCTTTCTGCCTCTGCATAAACACATAATGACATGAATAAGCAACTGCGTGTGTGCATGTATCTATATAAACACTTATTTCTACAGCTGTAATCACACTGGACGTATATACATGTATATCTATATATATATATATATATATATGCATGTACATATATATATATATATGTATATACACACACGCACACACACACACACACACACACACACAGAAGAGTAAGGCTACAGCTGCCATGCTTGCGGGCCTCTGCGACACGTCATCGGGCGCCTGCACATGAGTTTCACTTTCAGCAAACTGCGCCCATAAACCCCACTGCAAAATTCGAAAGTTCCTGAGTGCGGCCTTAGCCTCTGCTGCATCATCTTTGGCAGCCGGCTTTGTATGGCCTGGGGCCTGGCCAAGACTTGTGGCGAGTCAAGAAGCGGATTCTGCGCTGAGAACGCAATGACCGTGACGAGTTGACGAAACCCAACCAACTTTCCGTGACGAACTGACGAACCCCAACTTTCTGACTTGTGAGTCGTTGTGCGAGCTGAGGGAAACGTCAACCCCGGTGTGCAATCCCAAGCCAGCATGACCTTCTGGTTTAGTGTTAGGCCAATAACGGCTGCTGCATGCCAGTCGAAGAGCGCGGTCTCCGAGCCCCACTCTACCACATAACCGAGAATTAGCTGACACATGTTCAACCGCTGGCAGCTCGCCGCTACTCTCTGTGACCTTCAGTACTCGCGCCCAATTGCGGCTTTTGCGGCACTATATGCTGCTACGTATCTTGTTCCATATGCAGCTTGCCTGTTGCTCAGCGGACATGTGTCTTCGACCTCGGCTCCCAAAGTGCAGGAAAGCACATCTCAATTCACCGCACGCTTGCTGGCAGATGTCATGTACCGCCAGCAACGTCTCTTAAAGCATGTAAGGACAGAAACTTTGCGCCCAATCAACCTGCTAGTCGTCCCTGTTTGCTCTCAGCCATCTAGCCGTGCATACGCTGTTGCCAGGAGCCCCCAAGAGGACGCAGCTCAGCTTCGGCTTTCTGCCACCCCCTTCCTCCCCTGCTGCAGGCCTGAAGAATGAAGGCAGCACTCAACACCAAAGTGGGTAGTGACACCGCAACAACGATACTATTCATTTATGCATATGCACAGAACTGCTAACGCGGATTGTGTGTGTGTGTGTGCGCGAATACGTCTGCGTGCACGGTGGTATTCATGTATGTATGTATGTATGTATGTACGTACATACGTATGTACCATGCATGCATGTGTCTGCTTATGCATGCACGCATGCATCTGTCCATAGTCTGTAATTATACACACACACACACACAGAGTCTGTTTTTTCGTAGTATTATACTAGTAACTAGTAAGTTGAGAGCAGAGTTCTTACATCTACATACAGACAGACGGACG